TCGGTCGTATGTGACCAGACACCTCGCACGCAGCCCCTCGGCATAGGTCAACGAGCGCCGTTACGCTGTCTCTAGAGGTCGACATAGTTGATTCCTGTGGTCTCCGGTAGAGAATAAGTACTATTCAACAGTAGACGATGTGTTGTAGTACCTGGTGGATGGTTCAGAGGTTGGAGGAGGGGGAGGGGCGTGGAACACTGGAGTCCCAGTCACTGGAGTCTTTCTATTCACTGGGGACTGCATCACACACACACACACACAGCAGCACAGAGAGGAGAGACAGACACACATGGGGATCTGAACCGCACTACTGCTATAGCACTCACAGAGTTGGACACTATCAGAAATGCGAGTATTCGCAGTACTCACCGACTCTAAAGCCAAGCTGTTTTCTCCGAAGGCCCAGGCATATTAACATAGTGGAGGGACATACTGTATAGCCGGGTATATGAGGCACTTGGGGAAAAATCAGACACAACAGAGGCAGCAGCGAGAGCCAATTACACACACAACAAGGCACGTGTTCCAGAGCCAATACACCCCACACAGTCACAGCAGTCAGTCACATAAGACTTAGAAACACTCTCTCTTTCCCTCCACCTCTTCTTTCTCCCTCTCTCCCTCCTCCTCACAGACTCACCAGTCTCTGTGGGACTTGGTCTCTGCCTCCGAAATCAACATCCTCCTCCAGTGTCAGAGTATTATCTCCTGACTGCAGCGACATTAAGTCACACAGTCTACTAATATACTTACTACTTTCTGTATTGTTGAAGAACGTAACATTTTGGAAATGCAACCTTCATTGCGGCATGATATGGAGTATCACCATACCAGGCATGGAGTATCACCATACCAGGCACGGAGTATCACCATACCATGCATGGAGTATCACCATACCAGGCATGGAGTATCACCATACCAGGCATGGAGTATCACCATACCAGGCACGGAGTATCACCATACCAGGCATGGAGTATCACGACAGTTACACTGGAGTGTTAGAACACCGTAGACTTACACTGAAGGACGTGTCAGCGGCGGCAGGGGGAGACAGACGAGACTGCAAGGCCTGGGGATCCTCCTGGTGCACCTCTGCCTACAGACGGGATTACATCACTATTATTTCAGTTGCCCCTCCTTTTTTAAAACCACTGCATCATGATGTCATCAGTATAGGGCTAGCCACACTCCACCCATACATGATTGCACCGCACGGACACACCCACAAGTAATGTGCAATAGACATGCCATGGCTCTATTATACACAGTCTTGACACAATCTTGAAAGAAGTTAAACCGTAGATGAATAGAGTGTCTATGGGTACATCACCATAGAATGTGTCTATATGCAAGGTGTTCTGTCCGTAGGACCATCTTCACTATGGATAGACCACATTACATGCTTCTGAGCATACCACATACAAATCAGACAAATTAATGACTTTGACCGTAGTTACGTACGTACGAAGACGGTAGTTACACGGACTACTTACTAGTGGCGGTTTATACTCACAATGGTTTGATGAGTGATGCGAGATTGGGAGGACCCTGCCATTAGTCCGCTGCTGACCAGTCTACTCTGAGATCCACCGACTGAGCCAAATCCTCCCTTCCTACCAGCCTATATAGTGTTTCATGGCGTGAGAGATGGAAGTATACAAGGAAATGAGGGAGGGAGTATACAGCTATATTGTGCAGTACAGAGGGCGAGGGGGGAATGATGATAATAAGTGAGAGAGTACGCACGTGTTGGGAGACAGGGATTGATTTTAAGAGCAGAGCCAACTGGCAATAACCTCATATCCTCCCACCAAACTACCACACTCGCGGAACTATACTGCACATCAATATTGTGGCAATATCCCTTTTTGGCAGGTATGTATATATACGTATGTGTACAGGGTGCTTGGTCTAAAAGGAAGTGAGTCAGCTTAAAAGGTTGCCTAGCCTTAACTGCTTAGCTGCATGCTGCTTGGCTTGTTGTGGCATTTTCATATCACTAAACAGCAGTTTGGCAGCAGGTCATGAGATGCCTCACTCCTGTTTTACTCGGAGGGGGACATACAAATTACACATTCATGCATACAGGAGCAGTAGAGGGCAAGTAAGCAAGGCATTCCCAGTTTTGTATGTCAGCTGAACCTGACCTTCTTGGCAGCAATCTCGTGGTGAATAGTCAACTCATTGTAGCGGTCAAGATCTGATGCACGCATCGCCCCTCGCACCTCACCTAGCAGTTGGAGCTGCAGAAAAGAAAAAATCGTGCCGGCAATCATAATTAGGATACCCGATGAGTTGAGGATTATCACACCTTCTCAGGTGTGTCCAGTAGCTCTAGGAGTGCAGTGGCAAGGTCGTCCACAGACAGGCCTCGCTCCTGGTATTGGTCGATGTAGTAGTTGAATGTGGACAGTTCGTGAGTGGTGAGGACTGAACGAGCCACCTCGTTCATCAGACCTCGACTCTGGATCCCCGTAGTCTCGTATTTCTTCAGCATTACCTGCGTTCCTGCACCCTTCTGAAATGCCTGTGCGGATGTGTACAGGAACGGATAAATACGCAATATGGTGACCGGCATTCCTCAGCGGTAGGGGAATTAGCTCAAATGGTAGAGCGCTCGCTTAGCATGCGAGAGGTACCGGGATCGATACCCGGATTCTCCACTTGCTTTTTTGTTTTTTACAAACACTGTTTCTTCATAAATTTGATTTTTCACACCACCTTACCTTTTTTCCACGTGTTCCTTTGTCTTTCTCCCTGTAACAATTAATTATAACCTTTATGAAAATATTTTCACAAACAGTTTGCAAACCTTTGTTTTCCCTTATGCCACTGTGTCTGGCCATAAGTTGTGATGCGAGAGTGCGGCAGCTTTCCCACATCCCTGACTTTTATCACCATACATGGCTGTGCTCTGGAAACAATTTACAAGACAAGCAACATAACAAATTTCAGGCCTTATGGATAAGAACACACCGAAGAGCTCTGGCTGCATCAGCATGAACAATGTTGAGAAAAGACACTCCGTTTACCTCCATTATCTGATCTCCAACCTGTTTACCCAATTATGAATACTGCAATGACTTATGAATGACATCATAACTTATTTTGTACCTTGATCCCATAGGCCTCTGCCACTGAGGCTTCGTCGACCTTGGAGACATAGACACCCAGTCCATGTTCAGAACCTCCTCTGATGGAGATACCCAACTCCTTCCCACCGTCCACCATCACTGTTACCTGCACCACATACAGTTGGAATAGACAAGCAGTTTTCCCCTCCTTTTGCCATAAATCATTATGGGTTCTCTCTACACGAATTTCACCAACTAACACTGGCTCCCCCTTTCACAACAACACACTTCACAAAGCTGTGTCTAGTAAAATCAGTAATGCAAGCGCATAAGTGCTGACAGGGATTAATCTGTTCACCAGATTACCTCAGATGAATTAAATATCAGGTTATGGATTGCGGTGAAAATTTGATTGTGCTCACCTTTCTCTCATCAGCCTCGATGCCAAGCCTGTAGTCTCCCCGAGCCCTCTGCTCTGCGATGATAAAAGGGTCGGGGGGAGGAGTTGTCGGTCTGCCCTCTTGGTCCACCCAACGGTATACCTTGTGTGCCATGCGAGTCGATGGCACACGTCCATGGGACAACAACCACAGACGAAGCTTCTTGCAGCCTCGGATCAACTGCAAGAAAAACAGGAAGTAGCTATAAAAGGTGGTTTCTGAGTATGATGAGCAAAGCGATAGGTTTATCAATACCTGCACGGCATCGTGGTGGTTGATGCTCTCAAAACTGGTATCGTTGGCCTTGAGAATCTGGTCCCCGACCAACAGACCGCTCTTGTGACAGTTGGACTCTGGTTCCACCCACGAGACGAACACCCCCGTCCCGTGGTCGGACCCGCCGCGGATATTGAATCCCCACTCGCCTCCCGGGTCCCTCTTCACTTCCACCTTGTGGATCCCGTCAGGCGAGGTCATATTCGATTCCGCAGCCAGTTCCCGCCGCTTCTTCTTGAGGGAGGTGGCCAGCCCGTGAGCCTGCACCAGCTGGTTGAAGCGGCTCGTGTCGCTAGGCTTGACGTACGTGTCCCTGATGGGTATGAGTAGCTGTCGTTTCTGGTTCGTGTTGAGGACGAGACTGAGGCACTCGACGAAGGCCTTGACGTTTTTCCTGCGGTGGTAGTCGGCCAGTCCGCGGTCGAAGATCCCGCACTCTCTCTCTGTCAGCTGGCGGTGGATGCTCTCGCTCAGAAAGCCCAGTTGGGCCGCGTACGGCTCGTACTGTCGGACCGAAGTCATCTTGGGTAGTTCGTTGTTGAAGAGTAAGAGGGCGTGGCTGGAAAACCGTGCAAATCTTCGATTTGATTCCCAAAGACTTCAACTCGAATTTTGACTGTGTGAGCTCCAGACTAACTCAAAGATGAAACATAGTGCCGATCTGTCTGAATATTTTGCTCCACACTTGTTGCCCTTCTGCATAAAACTTGAAAGTATGCGCGCGTGTGTGTGAGCGAAAGATACAAAAAGTGGGCGTAGCTGCTTTCCTGCGTGCGCTCCAAATGTGCGCATGCGCAATTATATGTGCTAAAAGTAGTAGTGGTTACGACATCGAAATTGCACCACCAAACAGAAATCACGTCGTACCTCCAGAGCGGACTGACAGTCACCTGGATCTTTCCGCCTCCTCCTCGCGACCGCTGGGTTTGTGATTGAGGTATAGCTACCGTAGACTTCCACGTAGCAGATTCCTTTCGCGCACTGAGATTTTGTGTTTCTCTCTCAGCTGCTTTAGTGTGAACGGCCGTGTGACAATGTCCGACACCGGAGACCGGGCACAACTGGGGGCAGTGGTGGTGCCCACTTTGGTGCTGCCAACTCCCCTCTGGTGAGACTATGATTATTCACAACTTTTGACCAGCACACTGCGAGCTGGCAGAGACGCAGACTGACACGTGGCAACCCAGTGACTCAGCAATCCTCTACGCATGCGCAGCCCGGCCGTTCTATATTAACCTATTTTAATGCTAGTACATTAAACTTAATGAGTAAGAACCCAAACTTGGTATGCAACATCGCTATGAGAGGCAAAAAAATATCGATGTAGCACTGAGGCCGTTGGTATCGCTGTTTGGTTGCCTTGTAGCCTGGGATTGCTTATTAGCTGGAACAGACAGACAGACACACACACTCGCTGCGCATGCATGCCGAGGGTTAACAAAACATTTGGACGTGCAAGGCTAACGTTAGGCGGAATAAATGGTTGTATACTGGACAACCAAAAAAAAACAGCACTAAAGGCCATATAAATGAAAAGCACTAAAGTGCAACCTTGGCTCACGTCACTCTACCATGAACTAGTGACTAACTGCGTTCATATAATTATCAGAGCGTCGGTAGACGCTCTATATAGGGATGACACGAGTGAAATCTCACGTGATCCGCGTACAAAACGCCTCAAAACTCAGCGAGAATGATTCACCATGGCTTCAAAATCACTAGCAATAGTCTAGAGGCCAATACCTAGCTATACATATGCCCCAAGACTTCCTACGT